GGGGAGTAAAGAGATTCTCCGACTCTTAGGGAAAACTTCAAACCCTATAAACAACTTCATCATAAATCTATACAAAATGATAACAAAAAAATTGATCAGAAGTAGGATAATTTAATCAATTAATGGTAGTGCACCAATTATGATGGACTGTTAATTTCTTTTTTTAAATTTGCTTTTATTTGCCTAGTATGATTGCGAAGTAATGATGCCAGAGGAAAGGTTTACTCTGACAACTTCACATAGAAAAGAAACAAAGAGCGTTTAACAAAATAAGAAAATGTATCGCCTTCTTTTATTGCAGTAGTGAGAAGTACAAAGTGTACAAAAATGAAAAATGCATATACAAAAGAAGTATTTGTTTCTTCGTTAGATGCTCTACAGTCATGATTTGGAATTGAAATAAAATATGTCATGATAACTTGCAAAGACCCATGCTCTATTTAAGAACTAACAAATAAATAAATAAATAAATAAATAAATTACTTACAGAAAATATGAACAAACAACAATTGATGCAGGACAAAATAAACTAGCTATTTTTGTAATAAAATTTTAAAATATAATAACATATTATGGAAAATAACAAAATTCGAAGTAAATATGTTATGTGTCCTTTTTTTTTTATTTTTTTAAGAAGGAAATTTGCTTATATTTCAATTTACTTTTTACATGGCAAATTTTGAATCTCCTCTTAATTTCCAAATCCCCCACGGAAGTCGTCTTTGAGAGTTATAGTGAATGCAACTCTGATACAATCCAAATTCAGTGTTCAGGACAACAAAAAGATTGCTCTGAATAAAAAATGAACATTTTTAAATTAGTAGCATACAGAACATATTATTATTCTTTGATTGAATTGTCTGAATTATTTTTCAGTAAAATTATGTAATATTAAAATTTGTATCATTAAAAAACCATTCTGATTAGTTATTATATGGAGACCAGTTAAAACAGATCATGTTAAAATATAATACTTCATCTTCCAACTGTCACTCAATACTTCTAGCCAACTTCAGTGAACGTCTCAATATATCTTGTAACTGTATTATTTAATAAATAAAAACACCATGAATAGTTATTTTTTGATAATCAAAGAGACAGTAAGATTATAAGCTGAAGAAGTTGATTTTGTCTATAATGATTTCAACTGATTTTATTCTGGGATTATTTACAAAATTAGGAGTTTGTTTTACAAACTCAGTTAAACACAAGTTACATTTAGTAGCCACTTAATTTTGTTTTTCAGGACATCTTTTAGAATCAGTTAAAATTCCATGACAAAATTCAAGGTAAAAGAAAACCAAAATAATATTTATATTTCTTGTAACTGCATAATGTAATCATAAGAAAGTGTGCTAAAACCCTGCCCTATTCAACCATGCGCCGTGAAAGAATATGCTTAGGTGTTCAGAAAGAAAAGAACATTTCATTAAGTGATACAAGGGAAATTTATAATTGTGCCTCATGGACCAAAGCCAGAGAAACGCAATTTCAGAATTCACTTTTCAGTAGGACAAAATACCGATCATTAAGAGTAAAAGAGTTGCATCCACCAACTTGACTAGAAATACTCTAAACTTAATAGTCTATTATAATACTACTTATCACATTAGCATACATTGCACCCAATATTTTTGTAAATGTACAACATAGGTACATTTGTGTGATGAAATTAACAATAACACTGGCACTCCCGAACATCAATTGAAAGGTACATGATAAAAAAAATAAATGCCATAAGAAATGCATATTATGATCAACAAATTTTAATTTTTGAAACATTAAAACACAATACTACTTTCAATAGTCCAAATCTCGTATTTATATACAACTTTTAATATGTTTAGCTCTTTAGCCAATAACATTCAACTAAAGAACATTTTGGAGAAAAAATATGAATGCCCATTTCTTCACAAAAAGCTAAAAAAAATGAATGTACTTTTGTTTTTTAACTGACCTCTACTATTCATGATGTTTAAAGCAAATGTTACTTTACATATACTTCACAAAATTTTACAAAATTCAATAATACCACCTGAAAGTACTTCTTTCTGCAAGTCAGAATAATTATGATTGTTAATATTGACCTAGTTAAAAACAGATTTAAAAGATAATCATTTATGCCTAATATGTCAAAGACATTCACCAGTTTTCTGTTTTCACATTACTTTTACTTTATCCCTGTTAAATATTACTATAGTTACAATCATTATGCATTCAATATACAATTTTTTGTGGCATTCATAGTTTTTTCTCATACCTTTCAAAGTGCCAAACATCTCAACGAGTCTTCAATGATATGTAGAGCACACAGGCCTGATTACAAAAACAAAATCATCTGCTGCATGCAAACATGCCTTATAATTTTGATACAATGACCACATACAACAGCATGATATCATACATTGATATCATCTTCATTAATTGTACAATCAATAATGAATTTTTCTCAAGAACGGAAATAATTAATTCATGAGAAATATATAAAATGGATAGTGCTTCATTCATTCGACTCTGGAAGCTACATGTGTAAGAATAGTCTTTCATGGGAGAATTTTTAAATGCAAGATAAAACAATACTTTGAAATGGCTTTAGCAAAGTCAAAATAGTCAGAATGTCACGGAGTGTTGTTGCACCTACATTTGCATAAACACTATTATCCACTTGATCACACAGAGAGACACTAATCACATACACTTATTATGTTTCTGAAACTAAGAAACACTGCTTTCTGGTTGAAAAATTAGAACTTCATTTAATCTACTACTAAGTAACCTAACAGTGCCTTTTAATGATTATCCTTTATGGAAAATTACTACACGTTTCATTTATTTTTTATCAATCATAAAATTAAATCTTCTGAAGAAATGTGACTGATACTCAAATTAGTCAATTATTTTTTCCAGTAGCAATTTGAAACTTCCATTGCTTCTAAATTTTCCTCTGCTCCAAAGTGAGCTGCTACCAGAAGAGATGTAAAGTGGTATTCAATAATGACTATGTTTTAAATCTTCAAAGCAATTACAATGAAAACAATAGGCATTAACATATTGACACAGACTGTTGAAATTCACAGAGATAGCATAAACAATGACAATTTGATATTAACCCTTTGTGGTCAGATGAGTTTTAAAACTTAAACATCCTACATGTACAAGGCCATCTGAGAGATGACATGGCAACGATGGCTCTTAGCTCGGAGTTTTCAGGAAAGTGGGCCCCCTTACAGGTTGGAGGGCATCTCTCAAATGACAGCGTCAATTCCCTGATCCAGTCAAAGAGCATCTCAAAGACGACAGCTGCTTTTCATCTGTATACCAAGATACGATCTCCATCCAACAATGAGACAGCATCACGAATCAAAAATTAATGATCTATCGAAATACATACAAACGCTACCTAATCAAAAATGTTTTGCCCCACTCATTCTTGTCATTCTCTATTTCTTGTGTTTTACTATAGACTATTACACAACTGCAACTAAGTGAAAAATGGACAGTTTGGAGGAAGTAGATTTACAGAAAATGTAAAAATGATTTCTCCATACAGTAAACTTTGTGTTAAATTTAAGACAATTATTTTCTTGGATTGCACAGAGTTGTTTATTTCCAAAATTATACAATCAATAAAGTATCTCAATTTGGAATGTGATTTTCAAAATTAAAGAATTTTTTTGAATTTATTATTTGAATATTTTATTCACTGTGAAGTTATAGCAAAAGTAATAACAAAGAAGTTCAATACTGATGAAAATATACTGCCAGTTAAATAAAATATTACACCTGTATTGGGAAGATCTGATGCCAAAATTGTTTAAGAGGCATTCCAAGTAAATACATAGAGAATTATACATAGTACACATCTCAACATGAAAATGATAGCAAGAATCCACAGCC